TTAAATATTTACTTTTCATTAAATTTACATTGTTTTTACTTAATTAACTTATTAGGTTAACTCTCACATAGTTATGTTAAAATTTAAATTTTAATTATTCTACCTTAATAAGTTTTTATGTCAATTCATACAGTTTTACGTCAAGGCTTTTTTATGTCAAGTTTAAACTATAATTATTTTTATACTTGCTATTCTTAATTTAACAATTAAAATTTTTATATCGTTAAACACTCTAAACTTGAGAATATAAATTTAAGTATTTACTTTTCATTAAATTTATATTATTTTTACTTAATTGACTTGTTACGTTAACTCTCACACACTTATGTTAAGATTTAAAATTTAGTTATTCTACCTTTACAAGCTTTTACGTCAATTTATACAATTTTACAGCATGGCTTTTTCACGTCAATTTTGAACTATAATTATTTTTAACCTTATTATCTTTTATTTAAAAATTAAAATTTGTATATCGTTAAACACTTTCAGCCCGAGAATATAAATTTAACTATTTATTTTTCATTAAATTTACATTATTTTTACTTAATTGACTTGTTATGTTAAGTTTCATACACTTACGTTAAGATTTAATATTTCATTATTTAACCTTTATAAGCTTTATGTCAATTCTTACAGTTTTACGTCAGGACTTTTCCATGTCAACTTTGAACTATAATTATTTTTATCTTTATTATTTTTTAATTAAAAATTAAAATTTTTATAACATTAAACACTTTTAGTCCAAGAATAAAAATTTAAATATTTACTTTTCATTAAATTTACATTGTTTTTACTTAATTGACTTATTATATTAAATCTCACAGACTTACGTTAAGATTTAAAATTTAATTATTCCACCTTTACAAGCTTTTATATCAATTATTACAGTTTTACGTCAAATTTTTTTATGTCAACTTTGAACTATAATTATTTTTATCTTTATTTTTTTTATTTAAAAATTAAAATTTTTATATCATTAAACAATTTCAGCCTAAGAATATAAATTTAAATATTTGCTTTTCATTAAATTTACATTGTTTTTACTTAATTGACATATCACGTCAACTCTCACATATTTACGTTGAGATTTAAAATTCAATTGTTCTACCTTTACAAGCTTTTATGTCAATTCTTACAATTTTATGTCAAGACTTTTTCATGTCAATTTTGAACTTTAATTATTTTATCCTTATTATCTTTTATTTAAAAATTAAAATTGGTATATTGTTAAACACTTTCAGCTCGAGAATATAAATTTAAATATTTACTTTTCATTAAATTTACATTGTTTTTATTTGATTGACTTGTCACGTCAACTCTCACACACTTACGTTAAGATTTAAAATTTAGT